CAGCCTTCAGTTTTTAAAAAATCCAATCAGTCAATGTATAAACTGAGACAAAAGATAAGATCAAAAGTATCTTGAAAACACAACTGCATTACTATCTGACTAGCCTTTTATACATGAAATGTTTTCTGGGGTGGAGTTCATAGAACCATACATTAAAGTTTAATTACATGATTGGCTGAGTTGTATGTTACAAGCTCCTCCTTTTCAGCAGATGCTTCAAAGGTAACTGGAGTCAACTCAAGTCATACATGCAGAAAGAAGTAATTTGATATCATCTTGAGCAAACGAAGAAATATCATTGGATTACACTGTAAAAGGAACAAAAACAATAAATCTCAGTGTTCAGTTTAAAAGAAAATTGTTATATTATTGATATCCTGATAGGAATTTTCAAATAAATTTTGATTTTGACATCAAACAATTAACCTCCCTTATTGCTGCACATTTTTTAGGTAACTCTTTTTCAGATGATATAGCATTTGAGGTTTTTGCATGGTATGTTTAAAAAAAGAAACTAGTTTTTGAATGATCATCATTATTAAATCTGGTTATTATTTGGATGAGAATTTAATAAACTTACAAGTAATTAAAATAAAATTTATCATTAAAAGCCAAGATATGATGCTGCTCCAAATTATATTTTGAGTCAGTTTCAATAATTAATACTGGAAATGTAAGAATTATTTTTATGCTTCTTTATAGAGAAAAGATGACAGAATATTGTTAGTGGATGATGATTGCAATAATACTCTTTCTTCTGTTAATTTTTTTAGTTTGAACTTTTCCAAGCCAATTAAACTAATTCCATTTTCATAGTAGACTTCTATCATTTTGAGATGTTTTTCTCTTCTTGGTTGATATACATTTTATCATTATAGACACAATACCATCATCATCAGGTGTTCCTTGATTGGTTGATATGGGATATCTGTTATTTGTGATATTTTTGTTCTGGTGAATTGATGCTTCACTACCTGATCCAGGGATTGAACTTATGACCACCAGATGACAGTAACACATGGACAGGGTGGTTGAAAAGTAACTCCCTGTTTTATGTATGATGGTCTCTCCAATCTAACTACAATTTTTACAAGACAGCAAAGTCCATCATATATAAAATAGGGAATTACTTTTCAGTCACCTGACAGTCATTCAACAACTGTTCACACCAAACAAAATATAATTCTTGGAACATGGAATATTAGAACATTAAAGCAAAGTGGACAGTTAGAAAATATAAAATGAGCAGGTTAAATATCAATAATTTAGGTCAACAGGATGCATAAAATCCAGAGATGGAATGCTGATAGCAGAGAAAGAAAAAATATTTCAGTGATAAAGTGAATATATCAGAGAACTCATCCATGACGAAAGAGACAACCGGCAATACACAAAAATATCGATGGGCAAGAAATATTAAAATCTGAAGTGGAATTTGCACTAGCTAAATTGAATAAAAATAAAGCAGCAGGGCCAGATGCAATTGTAGAGATGTTAGCAGCCTTAGATGATTTTGGCAAAGACAAGAAATAATAAATGAAATCTACAAGAATGGTAATATACTGAAGGACCTAAGTAGATATGAACTCCATTGGACAATCAGCTTAATGAGCCATATAACAAAACTCATCGTCCAAATTCAGATGAATAGAGTGCACAGCAGAATCAGACCAGAAATAGGACAGGAACAGTGTAGGTTTGTCAAAGACACCAGAACAAGGACTGCAATATTTATGCTCAGAATGTTATCAAAAAGAGCAATACAAATGCAGAAGGACATGTACCTGTGTCTTATAGATTACACAAAGGCATTTGATAAAGTATAACACAAAGATCTATTAGAACTGCTCAACAACCTTGATATATTTGGGAAGAATATTAGAATAATCAAGAACCTATACTGGCAGCAAACTGCCTGCATATGGATAGAAAATGTGTTCAGCAGATATACAAAAATAGAAAGGAGTGTAAGACAACGATGTGTTTTCTTTCACTGGACTTATTCAACCTATACAGAAATGTGATTCAGAGAGAACTTGAAGTCCTACTAGGATTCATTATTGATATAGAGATGACCCAGTCACAGACAAAAACTACAAAAGCACCTACAGAATGTAGTGAAGGAAAGCAAGAAGAAAGGATTAAAGATCAACTGCAAGAAGACAGAATGCATGGTGTTAGCAAAAGGATGAGCCCCAAAGTGTGAATTGCAAATTGAAAATACCAAAATCGAATTTGTGGGAAGTATTTTATTAGAGGTCAGATAAGTATGACACTGAAATCTGAAGGTATACAGGGATAGCCAAAGATGCATTCCAAAAGCTAAGTAGAGTACTTTTTGCTATAAATAAGAAAAAGAGTACTAAACTGTTATGTGATATCTGCCCTCCTGTATGGTAATGAGTGTTGGACATTCTTAAAGATGAAAAAAAGACTTGAAGTACCAGAAATGTGGTTCTACAGAAGGATGCTGAGGATACAATGGAGTGAACATGTGAGCAACAACAAAGTTTTAGAGAAAATGGAAACAAAAAGGAAACTTATACATAACATCAGGAAGAGACAGTTGAGATTTCTGAAGCACATAATGAGGAAGGAGGGCTTGGAGAATCTGATACTCACAGGACAGATTGAAGGCAAGAGAGAGAGAGAGAAGAAAACAATGCATAACATACTTGATGAGCTTGTGTAAATGGATGGCAGAACAGAGTTTAGGAGAAATAACAGAAAGACAACATTTATTAAGAGCTACAAGGGAATGGAATTGTAGAGAGCCAAAATCACTTATGTCCTGAGGGGACACAGCACATAAACAGAGATATTCAATGTCAGATGATTTTTGAAATTTGGTTATCATAGTAGGTTCATATTGCTTTTCATAATTTAGTATTTCCTTCCAAAGATTAGTAAACGTCAATATACTTGCATTATTTTAAACTATTGTTCTAATGTTTTTCATAACTTTCAAACATGGATTAATGATTACATAAATGATAATCAAGAATGCAAATGAATTGGAAAGATGAATATTGAATTATTAAGACAAGAAATTATAAATGACTTTATTAATATTCAATATTTACTTATATTATATGAAGATAGCTTAAGTTATATTTTGAAAATTTTCCAAACAATAATTGAATATCAGAAAGATTCATTCTTATTTCAGATTATATGCAGTAGGAAAATATGTTTGGTAATATAATTGAAATTATTATATTGCTCAGATGAAATATTTTTGTATTTAAAAATGAAAAGGAAAGAGTGGGTGAAGCTGCAAAAATAATAATTTAACAATATTATTTTGAAAAAAAAAATTAAAATGTTTAAAATGAATTTGATACAGTAGATATTAATTTTTAATAAATTTAGTTCTAAATTACACAAGGATGTAATTTCTTTTTGAATACTTAATCTCTTCTCCTCAAGCTATGGGTTAAATAGCAGGATAGACTAATCCCTGTAACAAGTTTAAGAGAAGGAAAGTTGCAAACTGTGGAGAATGCAATAAGAAACTTCTCCAATATCTTACCCAAGAATGCATGGTAATTCACAGATAATTAAGAAAAGGAAAATAAGAAGAGCCATGATTGCCTATGTTCTGAAAGGACATGCCATTTAAAGCCTTGGAGAAGGTAATGGGAAAACCACTCCACTATCTTTCCCAAGAATTCATGGTAATTCAAAAATAATATAAAAAAGGAATCTTTGGGAAGTCATGATTGCCTACATTTCAAAAGGACATGGCATTTTCTTTAATAATTAAAATTCTCTTTAATTGCAAATGCAATCAGGTTTGTGAAAAAATTTTGCATAAACAAAACATTTATCTATTCTGACTAGTGGTCTTATCTTGATTGTTACATTCACAATGTACCCTATGTTTTCTTTAGATGTTTATTTTATTAACTTCCTAAGAATTTTGAACCAAAACCTTTCCTTCAACCCACATGTGTAGATTTCATTTATTTATTTCCAATGATATTAATTAATTCTTATTTATGATGACCTTTTTTTTTCCTTACTGAACCAGATTATATCATTTCTATGGTCTTTCTCAGGGTTTGAACTCACAACAACTAGATAACTATACTTTTTAATGTCATGTCCCTCCAGAAAGGAAGCAATGATGCCTCTCCACAGATTCCTTTTCTTTAATATCTATGAATTCCTGAGACCTTGGAGTGGTTTCCCATTGCCTTCTCTATAGTTTTGAATTTGGTGTTCTCTTTTGTTTTGACTGGGTACTATTATAGGCTAGAGAGCTCAGTCTACTCTTCTATTTAACCCATACCTTGGAGATAAAAGAGATGGATTCATGCCTTTTTGCAAGGGCATTATTGTGAAAGTGAATGCAACAGTTTAGGCTGAAATTTGAACTTGGCTTACCAGTTCCACTTTCCATTTCAAATTCATCAGTTCTGAAGAACTTTCCTCTATGGTACCTAGACTTTATGAATTTAAGCACAGTAACTAGATTGGTGGCAAGGTTTCATCATTTTTATTTTAACTTATAAAATAAGCAGATAATTTTTATAATTGTTTCATGAAGAAAATTATTTGAAAAATAAGTAGCTCTCTTCTCTCCCCGACTCCATTATTGGTTAAATAGCAAGATAAACTGGGTCCTATAGATTTGCATGGCAACCAGCTTACTACAGGAATACTTCTATTGTTACTCATGAATCAAAAAGAGATATGATTGCCTAAGCATGGATCATTTAGGCAGGTAGGTTTGTTGGTTAATTTGTTTTCTATGGCTTATCAACCCATTGCAGGTTATTTAAAGCCAGAAAGTATTTTTAGATTTTTTTTTAGATAATAATGGTTTAGTGATACAAGTCTTAACCCATAGCTAGGGAATGAGAAAAAGTGGATTCATACCTTTTCCAAGGGTATTCGCATCTAGGTAAATATAATGAACCCAATGGGAATTGGAACTAGACTCTCCGATTAATAATTCCGAGCCATTATCCATTGCACCACCTGAACATTCAAGTTTACAGCACCTAGTATTCTCAAGTAGGCACTCATCTAGGTACTGACTAGGCTTGATGTTGCTTAACTTTGGTGATCATACAGGAACTGGTGTTTCAACATGACATGGCTTACAGCCATATCATGTTGAAACACCAGCAGGGAGAAAAACCAAAATATACTTTATTAAAGTTCTTAAGAGATTAACAAAATTAATTTTCAACTATTCAAAATGATATATTTTATATTTTTTACAAAATGTTGGTTAGCAATGTTCTTGTTTAGATTATAAATATAATTTAATGATTTAATACATATGAAACATGAAGTTGAATTATGATCTGTCTATACTACTGTAATAGAGTATTCTAACTATTTACACTATTTACATCATTCAGCCTGTTGTCCTCACCTTTGAGAGAGTTAAGTTACTAGAGGGAATTAACTGAAACTGAGATATCCACTCCCCCACCAAAATAAAGGGCATGCCACATGGAATTAAAACAATCTATACCTATGGACTAAATAAAGGGTTTGGTTCGAAATTTCAATGTATATCTCCTGAAGAAGGCTGAAACATTGTGAATATGGCAATAAAGATGAGGACAACAGTCTAAATGATGTAAATCAGGGGTGCCCAAACTTTTTTCAAAGAGGATAAGATTTGATGACATGAATATGCATGAGGGCCAAATATTCTGCTTGGCATTCTTTGAACCATTAAAATTAAATGCAAATGAACTATCTTATGAAAATTTTATTGCAAATGGCATTTTTTCATTTCTTCATATGGATGACAAATAAATTTAAACAAGTCTTACCAAAATCACTCAGTCTGTTATATCTGAAGCCCATATAAGACAAAGTAAAATATGTCTGAGACAAAAGAACTTCCAGGAGGCTATATCTCAGGTTAATCCTAAACATTATATATTATTGGTAATTAATGTTGTCTGACAACTTTTAAGTTAAAAACATATGAATAGGAACATAATACCAACATTCATCTTATTAAGAAGTGGAAAACATAAATTGACACAAGTCCAAGTGTCCTAATATATTTATAACTGATTTTGGCCAACACAAAACAAATTTAATTCACTAAGATTTTAGAATTTATTCATTTTAGATGACCAAAACAAAAAAAAGAACTTGCCTGCACTAATGTGAAGGATGATACTGAGATCTGGATTGCAGTATGTAGGATAGGTGTCGGTTTAAAGGTAAGTGATCTTAGAAATTGGCTGGAAAAGGCCCAGGGTTAGGGTCACACCACCAGAGGGTGGCCACACAGTGCTGCTGCCATCTTTTGGTAAAATATGAAATTGAATTTCTTAGGTGTGTACTTTACATATGCTGATTAACAATACTGGCAGGCCATGTGATACATTCTATGAGAGAGGATAGGGGCCATATGAAATTTTATTGGGCTGGTCTTTGGACATACCTGATGTAAATAGTGTAAATAATTGAATTATGTTTTTATACATATTCTCTATTTTAAAATATATTGATTTTACTTTTTAAAGTAATAGTGGTTTACTATTAAAGGCAGTCAAAGAATAAGAAAAATATTAGCTCAAAATTCTGGATTAAAATAGATATTCATGTATGGAGAAAAATGCACAATTTATATGACTTATTTTTGTACTGCAGATTCCACAGGGATTTTCACAAAGTAAGTAAATATGGAAAGTAAAACTTGTTCATTATCTATTCTGTAGACTATTATTAGGAATTGTAAAATGTTATTAGCTTATATGTGTCTACTATGATGGAGTTAATAATGTTAAATATGAAAACAATTTGTAGCATTTGAAGTAGAAGCGGAACTTTTCGTCTGCATTTTTCAAGTAAGTATTTCATTTTGTCGCTTGATTTCACTTAGAAATTTGGTAAAGATTTAGGTTAGTGAAATAGTATCTTATTGTTGGAAAATATATTTTTCTTATGTGTTTTTATATGCCTTGAATGAATATAACTTTCATTTTTTCTGAAAAGGAACATTTTAGAAGAAAATTTAATTAACAATGTAAGTATGATGCTAAAGTGGACCTTTATTTTGTGCTTACTTTTATACAAGCAGTAGTTCTTTTCATAATGGCCATGATTTTTTTCATTTTGGACCTATGTACTTTAAAATTTTGTACACATTTACATAAAGGTGGACACAGAATGGTCCAGTTTAGCTTTAAAACTGCATTGTAACTTAAGAGATATTTCACTCATTCCCAAAATAAAACTTCATCTTTCTCAAAAATGCAGTTTCCAGAAGAAATGATGGTCATATTTGGACAACAAAAATACTGGTTGGCTAAAGTGAATCTTGACTGACATTTTCCTTGTCTTCTTTTTTTTTATCTTTAGATGAACTACTATATAATATCTAATCTTCTATGTCATTGAATGCTGGACAATGTTCCCACAGATGAAAGAGAGACTTGAAACACCAGAGATGTGATTCTATTGACAAATGCTAAGAATAACATGGGCATGACATACGAGCAACAAGAAAGTCTTAAAAAATAGGAACAACAACCAAATTTATGTTTGCAACCAAATGAAATTACTAAAAGATTTAACACTCATAAGCTATATTAATATATAGCAAGAGAAGGTGTAACTTACCTAATGAATTTGAATGAATGGATGGCAAAACAATGACAAAGAAGTCTAAAAGGTAAAAAAAGTCTTCTTTTTCTATGTGTCACATTGCTTCAGGGTGTAGGAGATCATGGCTTTCTACAACTTCCTGTCTCATGTGACTGTTAGCAGTTTTTCTGTCTTTGTCAAGCTCCTGCCTGCCCCTTCGCCATCAATTCACACACTATCATCAGGTAAGTAGTTTGCCTCCTTTCTCTATCTCTCTTGCCCTCAAACTTAACCCTGACAAGGCATACCTTGTCAGGGTTAAGTTTTCCAAGCCCTCCTTCCTCATTATGTGTCTAAGCAATTTCATCCGTTTTGCCAGATTCTTAGTAGAAGTGTTTTTTCTGATACCATTTTCTTTAAGACTTTATTGTTTACTCACTCTGTCCATGGAATTTTCAGTATCCTTCTATAGAACCATATTCCATATTTTGCCTCTAGTTTTTCCCTCATCCATGGAGAATTTGTCTAACATTCACTTCTATATAAGAAAATGGATATCACATAGCAATCCAGCACTCTTTGTTTCTAATGAAATTTTTGCTGTTTCTCAGCACCTTGCTTAGCTTTTAGAATGTCTTTTTTTTCTAGTCCAATGCATTTTCTTGATAAGTTACTTAAAGAATCACAAGACAAGTCATGGAGAACTATGATTGCTTATTTCATGATGGGATATGGCACATAAAAAAAAGTAAGAGCAAAACCTTCCAACAGAGTCACATGACTGAATGTTAATGTTTTATATGAACAAAGGATTGCCAAAATAAATGAATGCAAACTGAGTATAAATTTGATCACCATCTGGAAATCAGTACTTAGACCAACTAAATTTAGCAGTTTAGGATCTACCATATCAGAATTTAGTACAAGAAGATTTAACAACCATCAAGAATATCACTTTGAATTCATAGTAGCAGCAATTCATCAATATTTGAATGTGCATTTCTATTGGCATGTACACTCCGAGAACCACATTGCCTATCAGTGGATAAAAGAATTATCAAAGAAAACTTAAACAATAAGTGAACATGAAAAGATAACACAAGGTCTTTTGGCAGACTGACCCAATAGGCACCAATGAGTTATTTGTGTGCACATTTTTGTTGAATGGTACAATCTCAGAATGCAGTCTGGGAACTTTCTGATACCAAGACTTGATAATATTTTTTTATTCTTGAATTACCCACATTTTTATTTGTGTTAATTAAAGCTTTCCTAAGCATATACCCGATGGGGTTTCCATGTTTCTCCTGAAACTAGTGTAGAATGGCCTGTAATAATTGTAGAAAATCCTCCAAACTTCATTGTGAAGTTATGACGTTTCTTATGATAGTTTTTCTTTTCTAGATTTGAGAGTTCACGGCAAATGAATTCTGATCCTGTGCTACTAGTTTATTAATTCATTCATTCATTTTCTTTAGCTTATCAACCGTTTGTCGGTTATTTAAACTCAGAAAGTATTTTAAGATTGTAAGAATTTATTTTGAGATAATAATATTTGCATGTAAGTGAATATAAGAAACTCAACAGAATTGGAACTCAGCTCTCCAATTAACAATTCTGAGCCATTATTTATTACACCACCCACACATTCAAGCTTACAGCACTGGAATTTCCAAACAGTTATCCACCTAGGTACTCACCAGGCTTGACATTGCTTAACTTAGCTGATTGTACAGGAACCAGTGTTTCAATGTGATGTGCTTGTAAAGCCGTGTACTACTAGTGTTTGAAATATTAATAAGTGATACTGAAAAAGTAAAGTCAATTCTTGTTGTGCAGTGTTATTTCAAGTACAAATGTCTTTAGGGAATGAACTTTGAAAATACTCCATGAAATTTTAAAATGCTCAACAACTATATATAATCATGTACAATTGCAAAAAAATATTTTTATTGTTTTGTTTTTTTAAGAAATATGTCTTAATCACCTTAAGCAAAAAATATTTATTTCTAAAGTAATTAGAGAGACAGAAAATATGACATTGAAATAAGAAAGCACATTGCAGTGGAAAAAGTGCCTTCCAGAAACTCAGCAAAGTGTTAAGAAATAGGAAAGTGTCATTATCAACAAAGAAAAGACAGCTGAACTGCTATGTCATATCAATCCTCCTATATGGCAGTGAATACTGAACAATTTCCTTAAAACCCTGTGTTAGTCACCTTGGATTTCCAAAAATGGATAGTACCCTGGTGTCTACTTCCTACAACAACTGACCTACAACTGTGCCACACCATGTGCTACACACCTTCACTAAGTCAGGAGAATAGTAGTGGGAGTGAAGAAAAGAAACAAGTTGCCAACTAGGAATTATAAGTACTTTAAAAATCTTTGGGTAACAAAACATCCCATGTGGCTAACACTAGTTTAAAGATGAAGAGGAGATTTGATACAACAGAGATGTGGTTCTACAAAAGGAGCTGAGAATAGCATGAACAAATTATGTCAGTAATGAGGAAACTTTAAGGAAAATGGAAACAA